GCGTCGTCCGGAGGACGTCTGCTGGACGTCTCATGGACGTCTAGACGTCCGTAAGACGTCTAACGGACGTCCCCTGGACGACGCATGCCCACTGGGCTAGCCCAATCATAATTTCCATTTATCCATTGTCATTTAAACTATGTAAATATTGCTTTTTGCAATGCTAATAAATGTTAATTGGAGCCTCACTATTGTTAGCAGAAGCATAATACTCATCAACTTTAAAGATTGATTTACTTATGCCGAGCCTCTTTTTAAGAGATGAAGATTCCTAATTTTTATCAGCTCAATGTTTTTTTTTCTCTTTGCTTCGTGTACAAATGTAAAACTAACTCCTCCCCAATTTCTTTTCATAATTTATATACTTTTAAATATAATAAGAATTTTAATTTATTAAATGATTCAATTTAATTAAGCAACCATTTTTTTAAACTAATTTTGGAAAATCAAACGTTTCTAAAATAGTATTAAAACGTTAATTTTTCTCCTGATTGGAGTTACCACTCAATCATTTTATTTCTAAATAATATACTTTTATATTTTAAAACGTTTAATATTTTGCTGTATTATCTTATGTTTATTATGCATGCATTGGAGTTTTATGAGATTTTTAATTTATTAGCGATTGTCGACGACAAAAGCTGATTGGCCCTTTGCGAGTTACAGGTTTTTTATTTTCTTTTCAAAATACTTTTTTATTTATATTTGTTTTATCTTTAATTGTGTATCAATTTTTTATTTTAACTGTGTTAATTTAAAACGGTTTACTGTAGTGTGTAAAAATAAAATAACGATAAAGTAAAACGAACAAAATATAAAAATTTTTCTAACCTTTTTAGTATAAGTTGAGACCGAGGCAAAATGAATAGCGGGGCAAGATAAATATTATCTTAAATTTTTAATTTTTCATTAGATGGCAGCATTAATCAGACACAACTGGCTCTCTTATAGGCTGTTCGTTAAAATATTGTATAGAGACGGTGATACCATTTTTGTATTAATTGTGAAAGTTATATTGTTTACCGCTGCCAAGTTATAACTTTTATGCATGTGTAAATAAGCTCTGCTACAGATATAGGTGAGCTATTTCGCATCTCTTTAACATTTATTTGTTACTTAGTTTAGTTCAAATAATTGCCTCCTTCATAGCAAGGAAAAAGAATATTAGTAGACAGGTAGTCCGGGGCAAGATGATGGGGGCAAGATGGCGAGCTCATCATCTTGCAGCGTGTTTCGGAATTTATTAAACTAACTATAATTATAATCCAGAAGCTGTTGTGAAAAAAATGAAAATGTGAGGATAATTTTTAAACAGATTTAAGAAAAAAATTTCTTTGAATTTAGTAATATATTGCCCTAACGTCTGAGTTTAAATCCTGTTATTAAATTTGCATTCAAATATATTAAATCAAAGTCCGGAAATTTTTTTCACTAAAATGCTTATGTTTATTTCAGGGAATACCAGTTCATGAAGGAAGATTTAGAAAAGTTATTAATGCTGCACAGCGGGAAGATTTAAAATTCGAAACAACAGCAAACGAACAAAATGTTTTTTGGATTAACAAAAAAACAATGTTGAAGACTAACTTTTGAACTTTGCTGAGGAGTATGGTATTTCGTATCCGTTCAACAAAAATACATAGATGACAGGAAAAGATTGGCTAGCTAAGTTTACAAAGAAACATAAGTTTAGAGATCAATGGGTTTCAATAAACCAAACGTAGACAAGTTTTACGATATTTTAAGGTAGCAACGGAAAAAATAAAAATTTTCTGCTTTTTCGATCTACAATACAGATGAGTCAGGTCTGTCTACTGTGCCTTATAAGCTACTCATAGTTCTCAGTCATACAGGATCTAGAAGAGTTTTTAAAATTATTTCAGTATATAGAGGAAGAAATGTAACTATGATTTGTTGCATTGGCGCTACTGGCTTTTATCTGCCACCTTTTCTGAATTTTTCCAGAAAACGAATGCTTTCTGAACTTGTAAAAAGAGCCCCAAAAGGAAGGGTAGGCCACTGTAGGGATAACGGCTATATGAAATATAGAACCTTTTTAATTATTTTTGAAGCACTTTTATCAAGACGTGACACCAAACAAAGAATCTCCTGCTCTATTAATTATGGAAAATCACATAACTTCGGAGGCTGTATTTTATTGCAGTAAGAAAAATATCATCCCAATTGATTTGCCGTCCCACACATCAAATCGTCCCATTAAAGACCTACTATAGTTAAGCATTTGATAACTTTATGATAACTCATCCAGGACAACCTATCACAAAAAAAAAATATTGGTATTCTTTTGAACACCTCTTACTTCAAAGCAACTACAGTTGGAAATGCCGGTTATGGCTTTTAAAAAAGACTTATAATCCACCTGTGTTTAGCAAATATGACTTTGCTGCTGCAAAAACTACTAACCATGATGTTGTTCGCGATAAAACTCATTACAACATTCCTATTCCTCAGACCCAAATAGTAGAAAACCATCATAGAAAGTAGAAACAGTAGAAAACCATCATAGAAACCATTTAGATGAACTTATAGCAAACGCTAATTCCAATGCACCAAAAAAAATCGGTTAGAGTTTTTAATTTCTAAACATTGCCTAAAGCAACAGGACTTGAGAAAAAATGAAAAGTAAAATAAATGAGCTCAAGCATTCTACAAGTACACCCTTCAAGTACACCCTACAAGTACACCCTTCAAAGAATTGTTAAAATGAATTAAAAAAGCAGAACGAAAAACAAGAAATTTTAAAAAAACTAAGAAAAAAACTCGTGACGCTGAAAAGGGTGTAAATAAACTCAAAATAAATTCCGATAGGCCTAAGTCAATAAAATCTTGGAAAAACAATATGGTTGCATCAACTTCAAAGGATGATATTATAAGATTTCGTGCTTGTAGAGAGGAATATTGTAGTCCTCTAACAAAAGAATGGATTCAGTACTGTAAATGCGAAGAGTGGTGGCATGAGGAATGTTTCAATTATGAAAATAGTATTTTTACTTGTGAGTATTGTTAACGGTACCACTAAACACTTCAACATTACATTGCATTGCATTACGCTTAGTTTGATAAGATGTAAAAATACAATTTACATTGGTTAAACCATGTAAAATATTCAAAAGATAAAATGTTGTTAACTATTTTCACTGTTGTCATCAAGGCCTAAGATCAAACTTATTTAGCCCCAGTATTGGGGCAAGATGAGAATTTGTTAAAGTTGTAAAAAAATAAAGTCATTTTTTCAATTAAATAAGTAAATGTTAGTATCTTTATAATCACAAAAGAATACTCATTTTTATTAAAAACAATTTTAGTAATTTTTTGTGATTAATCACATAAGATTACTTAATTTTACATGTTTATGTAAAATTTGTATAATAACCTTGAAAATAAATTAATAAGCAACCAAAATTGAAAACATAGTTATCTTCTTATTGGATATTTATTATGTAATATACATTTATTTTTAACTGTTTATTGCGTCTACTGTGAAACAATAGTATGTTCAGTTTTAAGTTTTCATATTTATAAATCTTTATAATATAATAAAATTTTTGTTCAAAAAAAAAAAACAACGCAATCTTGGTTTTTTGAGTTGCCTTTAATCATAATAAGCGATAAAAACAACAAAAATAACAAATAGCATAAAAAAAGTTGGAGATCTAAGATTCTAGCTATTAAATCACGCTGTAATATCTTTTTATGCACAAAACTTAAATTTGTTAATAATAAAATAATAATAATAATAAAAATAAAAAATTAATAATAAACTTCATTTAAGTTGATTTGGTTATCTTAAATGATAGAAAAATTATTTTAAGTAAACTAATTGCACTTCCATGCCCGATGGGTATCCATGTCTCTTATAAAGCCTCCATATTCTTCAAACTCTCGTTGACAACCAAGAAATTTTATTCAAAAATTTATTACAAATATTAACAAGTTAGAAAACTATAAAAATTCGTACTTGTCAAATCAATTTTAGTTTCCCTAAATGAAGAAAACAATAGAGTTTCTGTGTGCTTTTCTAGAAGTGAAGCATTGTCGTTAATAGTAGATTTAAATGTGACCAAATCTTAATTTAAAATATAAAAATATGAAATCATAAAATTTTTTTTTTTTTAGTATCCTTACAATACAAGTTTTACTGAGTATACTTTAACCATACTTATGCAAATTTTAAAAAAGCTTTTTCAAGTTTAAAATGGTATCATAAGCATTATCGGAAAGTGTTACCTGACAATACCTCATTATATAGCACGTTTTAATAGCAGTACTGATCAATAGGGACTTTTTAGAGACTTTTTTAATGTGATCAACTATTAGAACTATTTTTTAGTGTGATCAAGAAGCATCTTAAAAGATTTTTACGAAACAATACTAATGATTACTCCCAGCGAAGAAAAAAATGTGCAAAGTAATAGACCAAATATAATTAGATAGTCATATTGTAAAAAGATAATTAAAAAAAATCATTAAAACAGATTGAATTTTAGCTTTACGACTTTTAGTTATATATTTTAAACTTTGCATTATAGCCTTAAAACTGTTGCATGCTTTTAAATCACGTATTAGGTATTCAAATCACTTTTCTATACTTTTTCGATAAAAGTTCACGCTGAGCATGCAAGAAATTATTAATGAAATATAAATAAAAAAAACATTGAGTTTCTTCTACTAAGTTTTGAATACTATAATAACTAAATTCATTAAATCAACTCATTAAATTAACTCATTAAATCAACTCATTAAATCAACTCATTAAATCGACTTTTTTTAAAAAAAAGCGATTTCTAACAGCAAAACAATTTTAAAAAGATTTCTTTAAAATTGTTCGATAATAAATAGCGTCAGAATTTTTTCTGATACTTTATCTTTATCATATTAAACACCATTTTTACTGCATTAGTTCCATTATTAGTTGCATTTGTTGATTTATTTTTTTTATATATTAAACTTGTATTAAAATTAATCTATTAAATTTTTACCGTTAAGATGAAATAAACAGCTAGAGAAACACTAATAAGTTCAAGAGTAATTCGCCACCAATTGACACTAAATGGAGTATAAAATGAATTATTCGTTTCTCCTTTTGGCAAGGTAATTCCAATGACAGTCCATAATAGCGTGTATAGAAAGTTAATCACAACGTCAACCATAGAATACATTCTGCCAAATAAATTCCATTTGATAGTAATTAATTGAAGAATGACTGGATGCATGATCAATTCGTTCTCATTATAAATGCAGATAGTCTAAAATATAAAATCGTAAAGATAGTCTAAAATATAAAAATAGTATTACACGTTTTTTATACGCTTAAAAGACGTCTTTTTAAGACCGAATATTTGCTGGGAGGGAATCAGGCACTTCAATCACGTGACATTTTCTGTGTGGCAAGTTCATTGGCGAATAAACATTGGCGAATAAACATAAATGTAACATTGGCGAATTTTTTGGCAACTTTTTCAGGAATTATTTTAATGCTATCTAATTTCAAACCTAATTGCTAGTTATACTTCGCTGGCAAAAATTTTAAAAAATGTTGATCTGTGGAGGTTATTCTTCATAGTTTCGTAAAAAAGAAGGTAGACGATTTTTCAAGTCGTTTTCTCTATAGTTTATTTTATTTACACTTTTTGACAAGTACATATACTGCTTTAAATTGCTTTTTTTTGAGTTCTAGCACATCAAAAAAGATTATTTAGCTTCCCAGCAAGCACATAACGTTCTTTTAACGTTGAGAAATGGTTAATATATGGTTGAAAAATAACGATCTAAATCTCAACGTTAGTTTAAGGTTAAAAAAAAAAACGTTGAAATTTCAATGTTGATTCAACGTTTATTTTCAACTACAAACAAACGTTGAATTAACGTTGAAAAATAGTCGTTGAAATAACGTTAAAACTACGTTGAAATTTAGATGAGAGTTCGCCGACGCAAATGCACTAATAATTGGGAATTTAAATAAATTTAATATTACACATATGTTAGTTATTATTATTATTAATATTTTATTAATCACCCTCTGTAAAATAAATTTACAAGGTAAAAACACAAACTAAGAAAAAGAGATGAAAAAAGTTTTTGTCTTTTTAAAAATTCTTCGCTGTTCTTTTACATTTCAACATTGAACCGCGTGTACCAAAATATGAAGAGTAGCTTCAAGAATTACATTGTCTAAGACTTTAATTTTTACGTTTTTTAAATTGCAACCAGCATAAATGTTTTCATATTCATATTATGATTATCACATAACTCTTTTATATCGTCTAAAATCATCGTATTATTTAACTGCGTTCCTTCCAAATGTGTCGAGTCTTTTCATTGTTGCATCTTTATTTTCACAGAGCTCTAGACCGTGGGTTAACGTCGGAACTGCTAATGATTTATATAATTGGATAATAGAACTTGGATGTGCAAACCGGATTCCAGATTGAATAAGATATTGTAATGATCCTTGCACTTATTTGATTTAAGACATGAAATAGCTGTTTTAATATTTTCATCAGTAATTAAAATGTGATCAGAATTTTTGCAAGGTGGAATTCGAAGATTAGTAACTCGATCAGTTATTCTCTCAGTATTTAACCGTTTTTCAAAAATAGTAGCAAACTCTGCGGTGATGGATTTCTTTATCTTTTTTATTATTTATAGTAAAAAGTTTTGAATTTGAATCCTTTTTTCATACTTCTAAAAGTATTCCAGAAGTTTATTAGGTTAGATTTTTTAAGTTTTTTAATTTTTATGTATTGTTGATATAGCCTATTGTTTGGGCTGCTTTGACGGCTTTGCGGAAGTTCTTACGAGCAAATAGGTAGCGATTAAAGATAGAAGAAGCAGTGTCTTTTACAAACCCCACTTCACTCCATTTTTGAAAATGAAAGGAAAGAACTTTTTTACTTTGAGTTAATTCAGGTGTCCACCAAGATTTTGAATGTGTAGATCGTTTCTTTAATTTTAGGTGTTCTCTAAGAGCTGATGTTGCACTGTTAGTTATAGTTGTACAAATTTGGGTAAGTTCATTCTCAAAATTACCACTAGTGTTAAAATTAATGAAACTCAAATTTAAGTGAACATTATATAAGTTTCTAAAGTCGTAATTATTCCAGACATAACTTGGAATGCTATAATCCTGTGTTAAATTTTTTACATTTTCTTGATGATGTTGACCATTAATTCCAAATGAAATCGATATTGGTAAATGATCGCTAACATTTTGAAAGAAAGGAAAAATAAAAATGCATTTATAAAAGAGAAGAGATGTATACTTTAATATAGCTATATGATCAATGTAAGATGAGTTTGGCAATGTGAGATGTCGATATGTGATTGCAGGACCAGAACCTTTAGTTACGTCGACTAATTCTAATTCATTCGAATCAATAAATTACGATAAAACCTTAGACAAATTGTTTATCTTGGGGCTAGATCTTTCTAGTAGATTGTATATTTCGTTAGGAAACGATTGGAAATCTAGTATAATTATCTCACAAGTATCCGCACGACTATTCATAATTCCTTTTAGTATGTCTAATTGACTTGTGTACTTCTCCAATGACGACTGATTGTTTTGTGATGAGGTTAGATATATGCCAATTACAATAATGTTAATTTTATTTTTTTGTAATTTTATTGCAAATATATTATCATCTTCGTACAGAGGTATGATATTTTGAAATTTATTTTTTCGTATAAAAAATGCATTACCACCAAAAGGTCGACCCTGTTCGTGTTTATTTGCCTGGCTGAAAAGTAATGAGTGGGAGTTTTTAAAAATATTTTTGATTATATAATATTCGAGTTTTAATACCCAGCGCTCGCATAGAAACGTTATATCATGAGAAGTTATTAAGGTCTCAGTGTATTGAATATTTGATTTAAGTCCCTGATAATTAAAAGTACACATACTAAACGGTTTTGCACTATTTTCTTTCTTTAATATATTGTTTGAAGCCATTTTGATTAATATAATTTTCACGGTCTGCGTTAGTTTCGAAATGTTGGTCATCGATAGAGTATATACGCTTTTTCCGGAACGGTTTAAAGGTGAGTTTGCACTCATCCGTTTTTTCACGGGAACGGGAAAGGGAAGGAAAAAATAATTACGTGGGCATGCGTATTAAAAGTTTTAATTTGTCCAAAGTAAAACTACGCATGCTCAATTGATTATTTTTCCCTTTCCTATCCCGTTCCCCTAGAAAAACGAATGAGTGGAAACTCACCTTAATAATTATATTATTATCCCAAATAGACGGGTTAAATATTTTTCTTTTTTCTGAATTATATACAGAGACTCTATATGATCTATTGTATTCGTTTTCTCTATTTAAAGTAATAGATATAGGCGTAATGCCTAGCTCAGTTTCCATATGTAGTTTAAGCTGTTCTTCGTTAATTTGGTTGCTTACACCACCTATTAAGACCTCAAATTTACGAATTATTCTATTACCAGCAATAGTTTTATTTCCGTGAATTTTTGTTCCAAATATAGGCTCCGACAATTTATGTTTATTTTCTAAAGATAAAATTTTTGTTTGGGAGACAGGCTTACTATTTTTGTTAACTAAAATAAAAGTATTTGGATTATTATCAATTTTTGATGGTTTTTATTTAATTTCAAAATTTGGTTGTTTAGTTTTATCAGTTGTAATTATGGTCTGTTGTTTTTGAGCCACAACATTTGCAAATGTTTTGACCTTTTGAGATTAACCCTCTGTATAATCCTTTGCAATCTGTTTGCCACAAGATTGTTGAAAGCTATTATTCTGTATAATCCTTTGCGGTGACTTCGGAACTTTTATTTTCATTTTGCTTGTCGTAGTTAAATAGTTTATTTTCACATTGGGCACAATAATAATATTTTACGTTTTGGGTATTTTCGTTTAATACTTTAAGGTTTTCAATAAGTTTACTTCGATGAATTAATTTTTCTCGCATCAGACTAAGCTCCATTTTTATTTCTTTGTTTTTTTTTGAATCGATTTTGTAATAGTAATTAACTCTTTAACTGACGAGATTAAAAACTTGTCACTAATAATTTCAACATTTTCGGTTCAGATTAAGGCCTTAACTATATCTTTATGAAATTGCTTTTCGCATATTTCGCATATTTCGCATATGAAATTGCTTTTCGCATATCGAAAATAGATAAATATCCTCCAAACATAACGATGTTTTATATCTTTTGCAAAGATTCTTTCCTAGATTTTCGAAGTTTAACGTTATATTAATATCACTGAATTGTTCTGTACCAAATATATGATGTTGATTTATAATGTATAGTTATCCAAATATCTTGGTCATTAATGAAGTAAATTAGGCACTGATCAGTAGTGGGTTGTTTTTTTTTTCCTACTATTGATCACTTAATGATCACATTTGCTTGTGAGTAATGTGAAGTATAATAATACTTGTAAAATGTACAAATGTACCTTACTTTAAAGACATTTTTATTTAGATGCAGGTACCTGATGTTCTTAAATAAAAATACACAATGCACAAAGATGGAATTTAGACAGTTTGAAGGTTGCACCATATTGATTGGATTGTGGAAAATGCATCAAATCAAAATGAGTCTGATAACAGAAGGCGATAAAAATACATATGAATTTGATATATCAAATTCAAGTGTCTTTTTAAAAATATCATCACCACCAATATCGATATTGGTGATGATGATAACAATATCATGATTTTATCAAGATCGTTTTAAAAATAAATTTAATTTTGTATAAGTTATTGTTCTAAAAATGTATAAATTATTTTTTTTAGTTTTATTTGCTTTCAATAATTGCCTTTCAATTTCTATAACTTAGTTACCTGCGTTAAAAATATGGTACAGGGTAGATTATTTGTAATACTACAGTAGGGTAAGGCGGGGCGAGTTCGTCATGTTTTACTTTAACAAAATGAATTCGCATATAAATAAGTGAACTTTTCTAGTTTAAAAACTTTTTTTTATTGATAAGGGTCTCTGTTTTGTTAATGTATTGAATCAAAATGAATTCTAAAGTTACTTTAGCGTATAATTTGATTTTTTCATCATCAAGTCATGGTCAGGGGCGAATTCGTCAATTACGGGGCGAATTCGTCAGTACAGCTAAACTAATTTAAAAATTCGTGACTCGGGCGATAGACGAAATTCTTTTCTAGTGGTAAAGGCAACTTACCTAGGAGAAAAAAACTTTGACATAAAACATTTTTGAGGTCACAGTAGGATGATTTCCCTAATCTAGAAATAAACCTAGAAGTT